TCCTAAGACAGAGTGGGTTAGAGGCCCCTCTTAATAAAAGGCAAGGACACGACTGACCTCAGGTTAGAGGTTACTCCATCCTACTCTGTCTATGGAGTAGCTGTCCTTTCACTACTTTACTTTCTTAATAAACTTGCTTTTGCTTTGCACTGCGGACTCACCCTGAATCCTTTCTTGCACAAGATCCAAGAACTCTCTCTTAGGGTCTGGATCGAGACCCCTTTCCTGTAACAAAATGAGGCCGAGACCTACTGGGCTGCATTCCCAGATGGTTAAGGCATTCTAAGTCACAGGATGAGATAGGAGATTGGCACGAGATCCAGGCCATAAAGACCTTGCTGATGAAACAGGTTGCAGTAAAGAAACCAGCTAAAACCCACAAAACCAAGACAGTGATGAGAATGACTTCTGGTTATCCTCACTGCTACCCTCCCACCAGTGCCATGACAGTTTACAGATGCCATGGCAACGTCAGGAAGTTACCCTATATGGCCTAGAGAGGGGAGGCGTGAATAATCCACCCCTTGTTTAGCATATCATCAAGAAACCATAAAAGTGGGCAACCAGCAGCCCTCGGGGCTGCTCTGTGGAGTAGCCATTCTTTTATTCTTTTACTTTCTTTTTTTTTTTTCTGAGACGGAGCCTCGCTCTGTCGCCCGGGCTGGAGTGCAGTGGCTGGATCTCAGCTCACTGCAACCTCCGCCTCCCGGGTTTACGCCATTCTCCTGCCTCAGCCTCCCGAATAGCTGGGACTACAGGCGCCCGCCACCTCGCCCGGCTAGTTTTTTGTATTTTTTTAGTAGAGACAGGGTTTCACCGTGTTAGCCAGGATGGCCTCGATCTCCTGACCTCGTGATCCGCCCGTCTCGGCCTCCCAGTGTGCTGGGATTACAGGCTTGAGCCACCGCGCCCGGCCTTATTCTTTTACTTTCTTAATAAACTTGCTTTCTCTTTATGGACTCGCCCTGAATTCTTTCTTGTGCAAGATCCAAGAACCCTCTCTTGGGGTCTGGATCGGGAACCTTTTTCAGTAACAAGGATGCAGGATCATCATGGAAGGAATATAAAGTCAGATCAAGCTGAATTCTTTGATACGGGATAATTAAGCAGAGATTTGTGGTTCATTGTTTTAACTTGAGAAGCTGAGAATGGCTCTCTACATTTGCTTGTGAGTTGTTGAGATACGGACCCACTATAATCCCAGCTTGGGAGACTGAGGTGGGAGGATTGCTTGAGGACAGGAGTTTGAGACTGGCTTGGGCAATATAGTGAGAACTTGTCTCCAAAAGAAAAAAAAAAAAAAATACGGATCCTGACATAACCTGCACTAAATGAGTTGAAATGCCAGAACTTCCTTGGTATACTGTAGAGGAAGATATGTAAACGCTTAGGGAGATAAAAATGCTTGAGTGTATTTATCATGTAAATACCTGCTCACAAACCCAGGGAGGGTCCAGAGGACACTCCTTTCATTAAGACTATGAGAAATAAATTCATGTAGAGAGTGCCAGTATTCTACACAGGCCACATTACAGTGGGAAATGCTCCCTGAAGTGCAGTGGGGCTGATGGAATCCTGAGGAGGCAGGGACCATAAGGTAACACTTAGTCACCAAAAACCCGGTCGGTGTGGTGACTGCCATGGACAGTGCAGCCAAAGCAGACCCTGAATGGTGTCACCCACAGAGATCTGTGATGTTGGCCTGCTGATCATAGTGTCCTGAGAACTGAAATGGATGGACTGGCTGCCCACTAAAGTTTTACTTGATCCCAGTAAGTAGGAAAGCTCCAGGTCTGGTGAATAGAGAAGTCTGACCCAAATTACCAACACACAGTTATAATCCCTCAATCAATTCCAAGTCTTGGTCTAGTTCACAGACCCACAGCTTCTTGAATAAAGGATAGGCCTGGTCCCTTCGAAGCAGGACCCTGCTGCACTGACAATAATTTATACTTTCCATCTTCCTAGGCCTCCCCAAAGGCACCCAAGGCCATTTATCAGAGTGATTGTGCATTGAGAAGGGCAAATAATTAGACTTTTCTGGGATAACCAGCCTCTAGTTCTGAACTAGCAGTAATTACAGGAGACTCAAAATGCCACCATGGTTCCTCAGAGTATGAGTGTATGGAGGTCAGGTGATCAATGGACTTTTTGTCTCAGATTCATCTCACAGTATATCTAGTAGATTCCTGAACCCATCCTATGGTTATTTCCGTGGTTCTAGAATGCATAATTAGAATAGACATAGTCAACAATGGGCAGAATCCCACATTGGTTCCCTGATCCATACAGTAAAAGTAATTCTGGTAGAAAAGGCCAAGTAGAAGCCACTAGAGCTGCCTCATTCACAAAAATAGTAAAGCAAACTAATACCACATTCCTGGAGAGATTGTTGAGATTAGTGCCACCATCAAAGACTTGGGCATACATCCCTGCTTAGCTCACCTACTCAGCCTGTGCAGAAGACAGATGGATCTTGGAGAATGACAAGTGGATTAATTGTAAACTTAATTGAGTAGTGACTCCAAGTGCAGGTGCTGTTTCCACATGTGGTTTCAGTGCTGAGCAAATAATACATCTGGCAACTGGTTTGCAGTTGTTACTGAGCCAGGCCCAGGTTTGTTCTGTTCTCACACAGTAAATCAATCACTGTGACATGGGTTTTGCAAAAGAGAGAAGAATTATTCACAAGGCTGTCCAGTGAGGAGATGGGAGAATGGCTGTCAAATCCACCTCCCCAAAGATGAGGCTTAGAGAGATTTATAGGTTAGAGAAGTAGGGTGGTCTAAGGCATGGGGAAAGGTGATTGGCAGTGGGGAAAAATGCAGTCATAATTGGGGTTCATAGGACATATCTACAGAAAATGGTGGCATTAACATGATCTGAGGGTGGAGTTTTTGGCCCTCTGATGTCAAAAGACCACCTCTTGGGCGTGTGTACAGGCCTGGTTGAAGGGTTGGCGGTCTCAACCCTTTCTTTTCTTGAGTCAGAAGGCACTAGAGATGCCTTTCTTTTCTCTTTTCTTTTCTTTTCTTTCTTTCTTTTTTGAGATGGAGTCTCGTTCTGTCACCCAAACTGGAGTATAGTGGTAATATCTCGGCTCACTGCAACCTCCACATCCCAGGTTCAAGTGATTCTCCTGCCTCAGCCTTCCAAATAGCTGGGATTACAGGCATGCGCCACCATACCCGGCTAATTTTTGTATTTTTAGTAGAGACGGGGTTTCACCATGTTGGCCAGGTTGGTCACGAACTGCTAACCTCAGGTGATTCACCCACCTTGGCCTCCCAAAGTGCTGGGATTATAGGCATGAGCCACCACACTCAGCCATCCAGCCCACTCTTTGTGGACACTGGGCTCTGCCTAGTTTTTGTCCTGGCTCACTGGGGATGGCCTATGTCCAGTTCTCTGAAATTTGTAGCAGGCCTTTGAGTTCCTTTTAGCAATGCTTGATTGTGCCAGATCTCTCCATGTTTGCTAATATCATAGGTTTGCTATGAAAAGCAACACCCCAAATCTTGTCTTTGCTAGCAGCACCAAGGCTATCTCCTACAAAGACTGCCTCTTCAGAGCCACAGCCCACAACTGCCTTGGCTGGGGTGTATAGAGTGGCTGACTTTTTTTTCAAACTTTCAAGGCACCAAATCATTCAACTGTTTGTGTGTGGCAGGCCAGTCAGGGGTTACCTACATTAGCAGCACTCTGGGTCCTACCACCTCTCCTTGCACACTGGCAAGCTCCAGCCAGAGACCACCTTTCTCACAGGACTTTGTTAAAAGCAGCCAAGGAGGAGCCAAAAAACCAGCATTCTGGATTCTCGCAGTTAGTTCCTAATACCACAGATTTGGTCAAATTGCGATCCACCCTCCAAGCTAATGCAGTCTGCAACCTGGCCGAACATTTTACATGAGGTGCCAGCCTCCCCATCTTGAGAACAGGGATACTGCTAAACATTCTACACTACCCAGTGCTGTCTCAACAACAAGGAATTATCCAGTCCCAAATATCAAGAGTGCCAAGATTAAGGAACACTGCTTTATTTTATTTTATTTTATTTATTTTATTTTTGAGACAGAGTCTTGCTCTGTTGCCCTGGTTTTATTCCATTAAACTTTATCATTTTTAATTTCAAGTCATCAGGTATTTTCTCTAGCAATTTTCAAGATTTGTCTTCAGTGTTTCATGGTTTTGCTACAATGTAACTAAGTGTGGATGTTTTCAGTTATCTTCTGTGGGATTCAGTGGCATCCCTCACTCTGAGAATTCCTGTCTTCCATCAGTTTTGGGGAATTCTCAGCTTTATCTCTTGGATGTAGCCTCCCCTTTCCCTGTGTGATCTCCTAGAGCCTGTCTGTGCTTTGTTGGAACTTTTCCTTTAAATGTCCTGTCTCCTATCTCTGGACTCCTTAAGGAACATTGCACTTCAGATCTTGTTCGAGTTCACTTGACACCTCTGCTACCTGCATCTTACCTTTTTTGTGTGTGGTTGATGGAGTTTTGCTCTGTTGCCCAGGCTGGAGTGGCGCAATCTCAGCTCACTGCAACCTCCACTTCGCCTGGCCTGCTAACTGCATCTTATCTGATGTTTAATCTGTCTGTTGAGTTTTTCTTTCTTTTTTTTTTTTTTTTGAGACGGAATCTCGCTCTGTCGCCCAGGCTGGAGTGCAGTGGCCGGATCTCAGCTCACTGCAAGCTCTGCCTCCCAGGTTCACGCCATTCTCCTGCCTCAGCCTCCCAAGTTGCTGGGACTACAGGCGCCCGCCACCACGCCCGGCTAGTTTTTTTTTGTATTTTTAGTAGAGACGGGGTTTCACCATGTTGGCCAGGCTGGTCTCGAACTCCTGACCTCAGGTGATCTGCCCGCCTTGGCCTCCCAAAGTGCTGGGATTACAGACTTGAGCCACCGTGCCTGGCCGAGTTTTTATTTCTAATGACATTTTTCATCTCCAAAATGGAAAAAACACATGTTAGCACAAAGAATGAAACACTGGATATTGTTTTCTAAGGAATTTATTTGAAAGAATTATATCTATGGAAAATGATAAATATTCCAAAAAAGCTCTGAATTTTAGATGTTGAGATATTTCAAAGGTCAAACCAGACCACGATTTGTGCTGGGCTGAAGGCCCATGAGGACCCCGTGCAAGACATCCTGTGTGATGGTCACAGCCTGGAGGATGACCTTCTGGGGGCTGAAGGACGTCACCTTTTTGGACAAATCATAAATGTAGGAAAGCTCTGGGGCTGGGCGGGGGTGGCTTGGGGGATGGGACATGTGGGGCTCAGTGGCATAGGGAGTGGTACCTGTGGCCCACGCTTTCGGGGAGGGGCTGGAAGGGGAGAGTGCAGGATGCTGTGTCAGGCTGTGGCAGAGGGCTCCTGGCAGCAACAGGCACTGGGCCAATGCTTCTTGGGCCACTTTCTCTCAGGTGAGGCAGCAGCAGAGGGTGTCCCTGGACTCAGTGCCTGTGTGGGAACACCAGATGGGCCTCTGGGACAGGGAACAGCCACCTCCCCAGCCCCACATCCAGACAGGGATCCACATTGCAGGCTCCGCAGAGAAGCAGGAAATGGTGCAGGAGGATCTAACCTGGATGCAGGGTAGGTTATTTGTTCTGTGACTTCATTTGCCCAAATGCATGTGAGTAGAGGCTTGTTCCTTGACCCCAATTGACTTCTAGGCATCTGAAGGAGAGGAAAGACAGCCTAAGTGAGTTCTCCATCAGTGGGCAATAGAGGAATGCACCCTCACGCTGCACACCTTCCAGGAAACTGTGGTCTGTGGACTTCAACAAACTAATCCATGCCCCAGGGGTACAGACTTTGTCAGACACTTTAAAAGGTTTTCCAAGAGTAGGAGAGGACTCATAAGCTGTCCCAAGTGAATTTTTACGTTTGAACAAACCTTCAGTAAGAAACAACGGTAGACACCTTTAAGTCATTCTCTCCTGACACACGTTTGCCAAGGGCCATTTCCTATGAATTTATAGATTCTATTAGTTTTTATTTATTATGTTTTGAGACAGAGTTTCGCTCTTGTTGCCCAGGCTGGAGTGCAATGATGTGGTCTTGGCTCACCGCAACGTCTGCCTCCTGGGTTCAAGTGATTCTCCTGCCTCAGCCTCCCAAGTAGCTGGGACTACAGGCGTGCGCCACCACGACTGGCTAATTTTTTTGTATTTTTAGTAGAGATGGGGTTTCACCTTGTTGGCTAGGCTGGTCTCAAACTCCTTATCTCAAGTGATCCACCAGCCTCAGCCTCCCAAAGTGCTGGGATTACAGACATGAGCCGCTGCACCCGGCTGGTTCTATTACTTTCATAAGATATGAAGAGATAATCCTTCCTGGTGAAATCTGAAAGTCCTTACCTGCTAGGTTACTGAGGTTTAGAGGTCTGAGCAGCTGATTGACCATCTGATGTGAGGTGGAGGAGATGGGCCTGGTCAAAGGGACAGCCTTTGGATTGGAACTGGATGCCCAGTGTGTCTAGGAGAAGGAAGGCAGCGAAGGGAAGGACCACAAAAAGGAGTGGCGGAAGACTGGCAGTCCCTTCACCCCACAGCCCTCTGCTTCATTCTCTGGCAGCTGCCCCTGACCTTTGTGACATTGAGGTCCCAGCCAATCACAGCGCTCACTCCTGCTCTCCCAACAGCCTCCAACA